GCTGGTAAATTTTGGAGATTAATCCTTTGTCAGTTGCTTCATTTGCAGATTGTTTCTCCCATTCTGAGAGTTGTCTTTTCATCTTGTTTATGGTTTCCTTTGCTGTGCAAAAGCTTTGAAGTTTCATTAGGTCCCATTTGTTCATTTTTATTTCCATTTGTCTAGGAGGTGGGTCAAAAAGGATCTTGCTGTGATTTATGTCATAGAGTGTTCTGCCTATGTTTTCCTCTAAGAGTTTGATAGTTTCTGGAGTTACATTTAGGTCTTTAATCCATTTTGAGTTTATTTTTGTGTATGGTGTTATGGAGTGTTCTAATCCCATACTTTTACATGTAGCTGTCCAGTTTTCCCAGCACCACTTATTGAAGAGGCTGTCTTTTCTCCTCTGTGTATTCTTGCCTCCTTTGTCAAAGATAAGGTGACCATATGTGCGTGGGTTTATCTCTGGGCTTTCTATCCTGTTCAATTGATCTATATTTCTGTTTTTGTGCCAGTACCATACTGTCTTGATTACTGTAGTTTTGTAGTATAGTCTGAAGTCAGGGAGTCTGATTTCTCCAGCTCCATTTTTCATTCTCAAGATTGCTTTGGCTATTTGGGTTCTTTTGTAGTGAGGTGGATGGACCTAGAGTCTGTCATACAGAGTGAAGTAAGTCAGAAAGAGAAAAACAAATACTGTATGCTAGCCCATATATATGGAATGTCAGGGGGAAAAAAAAAAAAGGTCATGAAGAACCTAAGGGTAAGACGGGAATAAAGACACAGACCTACTAGAGAATGGACTTGAGGATATGGGGAGGGGGAGGGGTAAGCTGTGACAAAGAGAGTGGCATGGACATATATACACTACCGGACGTAAAATAGCAAGTGGGAAGCAGCTGCATAGCACAGGGAGATCATCTCTGTGGTTTGTGACCACCTAGAGGGGTGGGATACGGAGGGTGGGAAGGAGGGAGAAGCAAGAGGGAAGAGATATGGGAACATATGTATATGTATAACTGATTCACTTTGTTATAAAGCAGAAACTAACACACCATTGTAAAGCAATTATACTCCAATAAAGATGTTTAAAAAAAAAAAGACAACCTCTCAGGAACTCCGAAGGTAAGTGATGCAATCTTTAGACCGTCTGTGGTCACTCAGACTGACAAAGACTAGGGGATGATTGCCAAAGTGAGTCAGAGAAGGAGAGGTGGCATGGGCACGCGTTGGGGGTAAAGATCTCATCCCACACGCACATCCTGTTGTACAGTGTGCAGTGGGTGCGTCCTAATAGCTTGTCATTGGCTGATTCCCCAGTGGGTTGATTGATGGGCATAATCCCGTGTCCACCCAAAGGCATTTGGTCTTGAAGGGAAACTAGAGCTGAGAATACCTGTTTGGGAGCCCAGCGTTAGAAGCAGCAAGTTGTGTTCCATTATGTGCCCGTCAGGTATTCACACGCCTCCAGGGCTCATATTCCCATGTATTTGATGACGTGTAGGGGCAGACACCACAGCACCTTCCTTAGGGCTCAGATTTATCCCGGGCTGACTGTGGAGTCATGTGAACATTGGTGGGGCAGGGCTGCCTCAGGTGGCTGCACTGTCCTCCCAGAAAGCAGGGCTGTCTGGTTTGGGGCCTCCATTTCACCAGCCAGCCCCTCCACCTCCCGCACAGGCATCTGGAGAGAGCAGGAATAGCACTCCTTGTGGAGTGGTTTGTCACCTACCTGCAGGTGACCCCAGACCCTTGAGTGTGTGAGGGCAAGTGGAGCTGGGCTGGCTGTGCTGAAGTACCGGGGGGGGGCCTTGAGGACAGATCACAAACATGCCAACCTCTCCCCTGTCATTTCTCTAGGCGCTCATCCCAGCCACAGCCCAGAAGGAGCCCACCCCCAGATCACACCTTCCCTGTCTGAATCCCCCACCCCCGGACCTGCCCAGGTCCTGTCCAAACTTGTATGTTCCATCCTGGTCACAAAGTAATATTTTACAGGCACCTACTGGACGTAAGCATTCATCCCAAGGCAGCGTGGTTCCTGAGGTTCTTGGAGGTTTCTTGATGAGCCAAGGAGATGTTTCTGGCAGGATGCAAGGGCCACTCTTGATCCACTGGCCCTAGGTAAGGCCCAGAAGCTGGTTCCCCCCTCTGGATCTCCAGCTCATCCACACTGAGGTCACCACCTCCCAGGGCAGCATCCCCTTAGCCTGCCCCAGGCTCAGCCAGTCCTTTAAGCACCCCCAACCAACCCCCAGACCCAGAACAAGGAGACAGTTCTATAGGCCACTCCCCCAAAGGGCCCTGTCCTGGCCCCACACCCTGCCCCTCCCCCAGCAAAGACACTACAGGGCCAGAAGATGGAACACATGCTTTATGCCTGAGGTGATCAGGGGAGCCTCGAGCAGGGGCTTAGCACTCACTCACACTGTAATATATAAAAGTGGTCTGTCTCCCTCACCCCAGCTGAGGCTCCTGGACTTAGGGGAATGAAGCCAGTCCCTTAGGCTTCAGAAGAATCTTGGTTGGTTGTTCCCAGCATGAACTAGGTAGTCCTCTTGGTTACCTTTCCTGGTGGTGCACAGAAAGTCAAAAGAGGTCACATAGTAGGGCTAGTCTGAGCTAAGAACGGCATCCAAGGAGCGCAGGGTTTTACAACTGGGAAGGCCACAGCAAGCCAGGACTAGAACCAACCGGGTGCTTCAGGGGTGGAGGGGAGTTCTGCATCCCGGCAAGGCCGCTGCACCGGAAGAAGGCTCAGAGGCCAGGATGGTACAGTCAGTGGTGGCCAGCCGGCCCAGCCTCCCTGCCTCGATGGCAAAGGTCTTCCCCTGGCTGCAGAGGTAGCTGATGGTCCTGAGCCAGCTGCTGCCTAGAGGCAGGCACAGAGCCAGCACCACCTCCCCACTGTTCACTTGCCACTTCTGGAGCTCCGCTGTTTGCTCATGGCCGTGAGCATCTGGCTAATATAGGAAGTCAGGAGGTCATCCATCTTGTAGCCCTGGAAACAGCAGCAAGAAGATAAACAGATGTAGGACACGGCCGCCCACTCAGACCCAGGACACAGCTCCCAGCAAACTGCAGTGGACAGAAGCCCGGACAAAGGCAGATCCTGCCCCCTGCTCTGGACTTACTTAAGTCTCCCCAGCCACACAGCTGAAGGGTTAGATTCATCCAGCCAGACATCTAGGGCTCTAAGCTGTTGCGACCTCACATTAAGGTGCTAATTTGTGGGTCCCTCAATTGAAGCTGCAGGTGAGGCAGGGGAGCCCGCCAGGCCTGGAAGGAAGAGCTCTCACCAGTGACGTCTCACAGAGAAGTTTGCTCCCGCGCACCAGGTTCCCGATGGTGATGTGGAAGTAGGTGTTGCCGCTGCTCCAGTTGGAGATCTTGGTGAAGGGGTGAGTGGTCAGGATGTCCTAGGGGAGCAGAGAGTGTCTGAAGCTGCACGGCCTGGACCGTCCGGCCTCACTCTCCTCAGCTCCAGCCCAGACACCACCCATGCGAAGGACCCCAGACTCTCAGACGAGAAAAGGGGCAAAGGGAAGAGTCCAGCTGTGCTGTGGAGCTGCTGTGGGAAGCAGATGCCTTCCCCCTCCAGGCCTTGGGTGGGGCCGGCTGGTGGGACAAGAGGCCGTCAGGTGTATGGGGCCCGGAACTGGAAATCTGAGAGCCTGAAGGAACTGAAACTGTGGTCACAGATGAGATGGTCCAGCGGAGTTGGAGGGGGGAGACAGGAAGACACAGGCTGGGGGAACACAGTGTGTGGGCTGTGTAGAGAAGTGCCTGAGAGGGAGACCAAGGGGGACATGAGGAAAACCAGGAAAGTGGGCACATGGAGCCACGGGGAAGATGGTGGTCGTTGCCCCCTTCGCCAACAGCCCCCTCCTGTGTCAGTGGTAGGACTTGTCTCCTGGCCCCCTCGGTAGGAACTGCTCAGGCCCACAGACCTGAGCAGCAGTTACCCCAGTAGAGCCTCCCACCCTGACCAGTGTGGACAGAGAGCATTCTGGGAGGAAGTGCTTGGAAGTATCCAGTGACGCTGAAAGGCCAAGCACTGGAGTGATTGGATTTAGTAGCGAGGGCTTTGTTAGTAACTCAGCAGTTTTGATGGAGAGATGAGAGGTAAGGAAGTAGACGCAGCAAACACGGTGCCTCTCAAGATGTGTGGCCAGGTGGGTGGATGAAGCGAGGATGCTGGTGGCTGATAGGGTCTCTCGGGGTTTGAGTCTGGGGGCCTTTGTTAGAAGTGCAAACAGAGAAGCCCACCCGCCTCCTCTTCCCTGTCGCTGCTCACCTTGGTTCTGGGATCAATGAGGCTGACCCCATACTTGTTGATGGCGATTAGGAGAATCTCAGGGAAGTTTGGCTCTGTAGTTTGCTAGTTAAAAAAAAAAAAAAAAAGCCAGAGACATCAGGTGGGGAGCCGCCCCCAGGAGCCGCCCCAGCTGGGCTTGAGTCTACCTCTCCTGCTGCCTGCGTGATGCCAGGGGTGCACTGGTGCTCCACGACCTCGTGGTTTCTAGCAATACCTCTGCTGGGCCCCCAGAGCTACCCCAAATCCCTTCACGGGCCCCCAACCAGCCCGGCAGCAGTTTCAGCCCTTCTGTCCTGCTTCTCTAGGAGTCCCTGCTATTGCTCCCTCTCAGCCCTAAAGCCCCTCATCTTTAAAAAGCCTCCTTGAACCCTACACCTGCCTCCAGGCTCTCTTCGTTGCACAGCCAGGCTTCTCAAAGGGGCCCTCTCCTCAGTGTGTAGCAAGGCCATTCCCCCCTCTCCATCCTGACTTATCCCCTCGCCCCAGCCACTTCACCATTCTCCTGCCTCTGGTCCTGCCCCTCAGATCCACCCCCACCCTGAAGTCAGAGTGGGCTCTGGCCCCATCAATCATCCCTGTGCAAAACCGTCCAGGCTGGGCACCACCTGCAGGAGGAACCCTACTGGCCTCTCCTGCTCGCCAACCTGCTGCTTACCGCAGTCTGCGCGCCTCACACCCCCGCCCATCCACACTCACCCACTCGCACTTCCTGCCCAGGCCTGAGCTCTCACACCTCTGGGTCTTTGCTCGTGCCAGGCCGTCTGCCAGGAACCCTCCCCTCAGGGTCTCCCTGGAAAGCTCAACGTTGCCTCCTCCAGGAAGCCGCCTCAGCGTCCCAGGACTAAGCCCAGGGCCCAGTACTTAGCTGAGACACCTAGCTGGGCCATTTCCTCCTTTCCTTGCCAGGCAGGTGGCAGAGGCCACTGCAGTTTCCCAGAGTCATGGGGAGGAGCCTCTGTGCCATCTGGTTCCCCCTCGTCCTGAGAAGCACGCACCCACGGCATACCTTCACCTCGAAGAAGGCTGAGCCGAAGGTGGGCCACTTGAAGATGAGCTTCAGGAAGGCCAGCTTGGCGTCCTCCTTGGACTTCCCTGCGTGCTTGTTGAAATAGGCGACGATGGACTGCAGGGGGAGCGGGGTGGGGGGGGTCAGAGTCCTCTCCCCTGCCGCTCCTGCCCCATCTGCACTGTCAGCAGCTGCCATGGGCCCTGGAGGCTATGAAGCCTCCCCACTTCTACCAGTTAATGGACTCCTGACAGCCCTTCCCTCCCCAAAGCAAGCAGGCCAAACAGTATCAATTAAAATCCGGTCACCATGGTAACCAGGACGGGGCAAATTACTGCCAAGTGGCCGGCTGAATTTACAGGGGCCACAAGAGATACTTCCCTGGGCTGCTGTCCAGCACCTGCCCCCTTGACCCTGGGGTACCCAGAGAACCATTCAGGGGGCCCCTATTCCCACTGTCTCCCCCACGGTCACCCGCTTCCAGTCGTCAGGCGAGATCTGCCGGATGAGGTCCTGGGGCACCAGCTCCCGTAGAAGCTTGGGGATACTGGGGAAGTAGGACTTGTCCTCCTCAAACTTGGCCCTGTAGATGAGTGCCCCCAGCTGCAGCACTTCCTCCCGCGTGCACTTGTGGTAGCCTCGGAGATACTTGGGCAACTCCTGCCAGAGACAGAGCAGGTCACAGGCAGTGGAGGCACCTGGAGGAAGTGGGCTTCTTCCCTTAAGCACCCCCCACCCCCCGTGAGGCCGGGTCTACTGCTTTACCCCACATTTGGGCCCACCTGCTTCCCCATCCTCAGCTGACACTGCTCCCCAAGGTGGGGAAGGCACAGTACGGGGAAACAGCATTATGCCACAGATTCAGCGCTTTACAGATTTAAAAAGGCAGATGGAGGAGATCAGAGAGAAGGTTATGGGCTTCTTCCCGATGAGAGAAGATGGTGGACCGACCCAAGTTGGTGGAGGTGGTGATGGAGAGACGTGAATGTGTTTCAGAGATAAGAGATAGTCGGGAGGTAAAGTCTTCAGGTGAGTGATTTGGGACATGGGAGAGGTCCACGCTGACTCAGGTTTCTGCCTTGGGGGAGCTGGTAGTTAACGGTGCCATTTGCTAAACGGGCAACATGGGGCAAAGGGGAGAGGAAGAGCCTGGGTTTGAAGGAAGGCGGCCCTTCTGGCTCGCAGGCCATGGTTCTCTCTACCAGGGCAGCTGCCTTCCCCACCACTGGCGCCCCTCCCAGCATCCTGGTCTGTCTGTCCCACAGAACGGTAAACGGCCACCTCGGAAGAGACCACTGAGTCTGCAGTCATGAAGACCTGGAATCCAACCCCAGTTCCATCAGCCCTGTGATCCTAATTACATCACTTGATCTGAGTGTTCCTCTGTGAAATGGGAACAACATAACTCCTTCTTGGGGGTTGTTGGGAGGACAGAATGAGTACAAGCTGCCAGACACACAATAGAGGCTCAGCCTGGGAGCCACCTGCTGGCTTCCCGCAGGCCCATGCCCTGCTGGAAAACGTCTACAGACCCAGGTGTACCAGCAGAATCCCAAATCCAGAGCATAGCCCCTCACCAAGGGAAGGGCCTGCGAGCTCAGCCCGAGGGCTGGAGGGTTGGGAAGGAGAAGGATCTGAAGTTGGGCCACCTCCGGAGACCCCAGCAGGAATGGCTTCCAGTCCATGCTGCTGCCCCTCCCCTGGCAAGGACAGCAGGCAACCACAGCAGAGAGGCTCTGGGCAGCTCACCTGGTAATAGTGGAAGATGGAATCGGCCATGGGGTCCTTCCCTGGCACCGTGGTGGTCCACAGCTTCTTCATGAAGAACACTTGGTAGGTGAGCGAGGGCACGATTCCTGTGGCAGGGGGCAGTCGGTCACCCAGAAGATCCCAGCACCAGCCCTGGAGGAAGGCCTGACTCGGGCCCCACCCAGGTGGGCCTCAGGTATGGCCCCGAGCCAGGACCTGCTGGGCCCAGGCCTCGGATGATCCCAGGACTCAGCCTCACGTTACCATCCTTGACGGGCCGTGCTTTCTTTATCCAGTCCGTCAGGTGTCGTACAAAGTCGAAGAAGAAGTCATTCTCAGGAACGCTGATGACCTAGGGACATGGCCATTCTAGTCCACTCATTTTAATTGGAGCAATACCGAGTTTTCTGACTTTCCCACCCAAGGCCTCCCCGGCAGCCCCTTCTCCAGAAGAACTCCTGCTCGCAGCCAGAGGGAGTGTCCATGTATCAACCCCATCTTGCCCCGACTGTGCCTGTTGAGTGTGTCTGTCCAGTGACAGTGACTCCCTTCAGTCATTCAGCAAAGAGTCACTGCTGCTCTAGGACCCTGGAAAAAAGGCCGAGAAAGGGGCCCAGTCCCTGCTTTGGACATTCTCTGGTATCCGTGTCCTGCTCCTCCCACAGGCTCTAAGCCCCGCTGGGTCCAGGACCTCACGGAGATCACCTCTGGGTCACAGTGTCTGGCACAGGGACAGACATGAAGTGAGGAGACAGACATGGATGCACAGGGAACTGTGGGTGAGCGACAGGAGAGAGCACCTGACCTGCCTGCAAGGGTCAGGGAAGCCCCCCAGGGGAAGGGGCTTTCAAGCTGGGCCTTTGACTCCTATGGACATAAATGGGGCGGGGGGCAATGTGGGGTGAAGGCAGGGGCCTGTGCTTCAGAGTCAGCCCCACCTGGATCTGAGTCCCTGCTGTGTGACCTGAGATAAGTCACTTAACACTTCTGAGTCCAGGTTTTGTGGTCTATTAGGTGGGGATGGTCATCCTCCCTTCAAGGGCTTTTTCAGAGATGAACTGATCTCAGCCTGGCAGCTGAGGGACCAGTCAAATCAACTCTGGAAAGTACATGTGTATTGGGGCAGGGCGAGGAGCCTAGTGTGTCCAGAGCACAGAGTGCTCCCAAGAGGTCTGTGGCCAGGCTGTGCAATGCCTCAGAGGAGAGAGATGTAGGCATAGCTGCTGCATGTCAGGGGGCCATTGCAGGGATGTAAGAAAGAGACGGGCACAATCAGATGCCTTGTGCAAGAGGGCCTCTTCCTCTCCCCGTCCCTCCTTCTGTCTCTGTCCCCACCCCCGCTGCCCCATGAGCTCCCAGGGCGCCAGCAAATTTCCCATGAGACAGACCAAGAGCAGGCAGATAAGCAAGCAATGCCCCCCCAACCCACCTTATCTGCAATTTTGACAAAGAGGCTGAATCCCTCGGAGGACTTGAGGAGCAGCCGGGCGGCGATGTTCTGGCAGAAGTCCTTGGCCTTGGTGCTGGACTCCACCTCGAAGGCCTGGGGGAAGGGGTGGCGGGGGAGCACCTGCTTGCCTCTGGCAGGGCCTCTCCCAGGGCCTCTCGCATCCCTGTGGCTGTGCCTCCAGCTGGACGGAGCCCCCTCCCATGCAAGACACCCTCCTCCTGAGGGGGCTTCCCCAGAGCTGGGCACCATGCTTAAGACAAGGAAGAAGTATAAAACCTACCCTGTATAAAATAAACTACAAGGATATACTGCACAACCCAGGGAATATAGCCAATATTTTATAATAATTATAAATGGAACACCACCGTTAAAATTTGTGAATCACTGTGTTGTACAGCTGACACTCATATAATATTGTACATCAACTAAACTTCAATTAAAAATAATTTTTTTTAAAAGAAGGAAAAGCAACTCCTGTCTGCGTCTTCCCAGATCGTGCCCTTCCCAACCCTTCAAGCGGGACTAAGCCTTGGCCTCCAGGGTCCTGGGCCCAGCTGTACAAGCATGAGTGATGGCAGAGGCCAAGGGAGCACAGGAGGGACAGGGTGAATGGAAGGAGAGAAACTGGAGGAAGGAGAGAGCAAACTCCAGAAAGGGTGAGGAGTCAAGAGCCGGGAAGCAGCCCAGACTGGGCTTGGGAGGGATGGGAGGGTCTGGGGAAGCCCAGATGAGGGAGGAGTGCAATTTGAGGGGTGGGGGGTGCTCCATGTAACCCTCCATAGGGGACAGGAAAAGATTTTAGGAAGTTTTTCTGTCCTTGTGACTAGAATCCCCTAGTGGTATTTCTGAGTCTCTAGTCTAGACAAGTTTTTAAACTGTTTTAAACTGCTTTTCAAACCGAAAATTTCACTGTTGGTCTTGTTTATCTGAATGAGATGCTGTGCTGGGATGGAGCAGGGGGTGTAGATCAGGAGCCGGCATGACAAGAAGACAAATAGGACTTTTGCCCAGGGGACCGCGGTGGAGGGGACTCACACTCAGGTCAGGTGAGAAGGAAGGGTTAGTCTGCAGGAGAGTGGGCTCGGGGCAATGGGGGAGGTCTTGGGCTGCGGAGCAGGCCTGTGCCCAGGAACAGAGCTGGCATCGGAGATGACGTCAACACAGAGCTCAGCTCAGAGGGAGAAAGCACGTTTCTCCAAGCAGAGGCTCCTCAGAGAGAGGGAGGGGTGAGCTTCTCAAGGAAGCTGATCAAGGAAGTGAGAGGCTGAACCAGGAACCCAAGGGCTCCTGACCCGAGGCGTCTGTGGCCTCTTGACTGAGCCCCGGCTCCACTGAGGGGCAGGAGGATGGGGGCAAAGGTGGGGGTGGTGGGGAAGAGACAGCAGGGCTGCCCCGTGTCCCCGAGGGAGCCTGGTCCTTCAGGGGCACCCACAGACCAAGAAGCCAGAGTCCCTCACCTCGTCTGTGTCATCGGGAAAGTAGACCTTGTGGAAAATCTGGGTGGTTTTGTGCTGGATGGCCTCCACCTCCACCAGGTGCGGGGGGTACTTCCGGGACCCGTTTCTGAAAACGAGCGGGGGGCGGGGGAAGGGGGGCAAGTCAGGAGGCAGCAGATTCCTGGGGCCATGGGGAGCAGAGAGCAGAGGGCACTTTGGAGACAGGCAAACCCAGTCCTAATCCCCAGCCACCACTTCCTACCAGGTGACAAACTCTCAAGCCTCTAGTTCCTCATCTGTAAAATGAGGTGATCATGGTACCCACCAGATAGGGATGTGGAGGGGACCGAATGAAGCAAAGGGTACAGGTGGGCTTTGCAGAGTGTGGAGTGCGGCCCAGGTGTCTGCCTCCCCAGCAGACTTGAAGGTATGAGAAAATAACTTTCTGAGCAACCAGACTCTCAAACTGTCCAGAATGGGTACTGGGCACTGCCACCTTTGTCAACCTGGCAGCTGTGGGACCCCGAAGATGATGGGTCAGGACCTCAGCATCCCCAAGGGACTCGTCTCGCAAGCCAGGGTGGCCGGAAGCCCATCCCAGTGCCTGCTGCCACGCACTATGCCCACTGCCCCCTCTGCCCCTTGCAGCCCCTGCTGTACCTCAGGGCTTTCTGGAGCCGCTGCAGGCAGTCGATGGCGAGTGGGCAGTGCTTGCGGGACTGCAGGAAGCGCTGCACATGCGGCAGGAGGATGTTGCTGGGCGGGAAGAGCCCTGTGCACAGCCAGAGCAGCTCCCAGCCCCGCTCCTCACTATACCTGCAGGAAGAGGTGTGGTGTCCAGCAGGGCCACGGCGGGCCGATAAGCCTCAGCTCCTCACGCGGCAGCACATGCCTGCCCTCACCCCCACCCCTGTCTGAGGACCAACACGGACCCACCCCCCTGACAGCCTGATCCCATTAGTGCTACTCAAAGTCTGGTCTGCCAACCCCACCCCAGGCCGCACACTTACTAGTCAGGTGGAGGTAAGGTGCTTGTGTCAGCTGTGTCATCAAGCACTCTGGCTAAGATTTTTTTTTTCTTAGAAAGACTTTCCTATGACGGAAGCAGTGTGTGATTTATATTATGGCAGCAGCTCTTTAACTCGTATGTTATTTGAGCAGCGCTACGTTAGACCAGCCCCAGGACTCCCTCAGGCACTACTCTGAGCTCCTTTGGTCTGGCAGGAGGGAAGCCTGGAGGGCTTCTAGGAGGAGGTGGCATTTGATCTAGGCTTTGAAGACTGAGGCAGATTCTGATATGCAAAGGAGAAGAAAGGTTTTCCTGGCTGTGGGCACAGAATGTGCGAAAAGATCTGACGCATGGTCCAATGGTACACTTGTTTAAGAGATGTAGAGAGTGACAAAGCTGGGGAGGGAGTTGGAAGTCTGGGAATAAAGGGAGAGGGTGGGGCTTCTCTCAGGCTCTGAGATGAGCATGTGCCTGACTTCCCCCTCCTGCCATGGTCTGGGCCATCAGGAAGGCGGTGACACCCTCTGGGGTCCAACACCCCCAGCCCATGAGAGTTTTTTTTTTTTTTTCGCGGTATGCGGGCCTCTCACTGTTGTGGCCTCTCCCGTTGCGGAGCACAGGCTCCCGACGCGCAGGCTCAGCGGCCATGGCTCACGGGCCCAGCCGCTTCGCGGCACGTGGGATCCTCCCAGACCGGGGCACGAACCCGCGTCCCCTGCATCGGCAGGCGGACTCTCAACCACTGCGCCACCAGGGAAGCCCCCATGAGAGTTTTTAGCCAGAGCTTCTGACTGACAGCTCAGCCTGAGCCAGGGATGGGACAAGTGCTCATGAGATGCACCTGTAGGCGACAGTGGCATCTGGGCTAGGGCGGGTATCCAGAGGAGGCTCGGGCAGAGAGCAGCGGGAAATGAGGAGGAGCCGGGGCTGTTCAGCTTGCGGGGAGGACAGACTCAGGGCGCAGCCACCACCTCTCGGTTCTTGACCCTCTTCCTTGGGCCTTGAGGGAGAGCTAGGACATGAGGGGGCCTGAGGACAGCTTCCTGCTCTGAGTGAAGAAGGACTGTTCCCAGGCAGAGCCAGCTGCTGCCTGGGCAGGGAGTGAGCTCACAGTGGGAGGAGGACCTTCACGATTACCTTCAGCTGTTAGCACTGGGGGGGGCCTGCCCCTCACCCTCCCACCATCCCGGCTTACCTGATGTGGTTGTCAGTCAGCTGCTTCAGGATCTGCACGTACACCTCGTCCTTGAGGGGCTCAGCCTTCAGGGCACCCTCGAAGATCTGGTCTGTGAGCTCATTGACGGAGCGCATCCTCTTGGACGGGTAGTCACCCATGTACTTGAGCATGGGTGGGGAGCTGTCAAGGAAGGCTGTGGCCAATCGGGGAACAATGGCCCGGGAGGCAGGCGGCCACACTCTCCAGCAGGGTCTGCCACCCCTGATCATGTGGCCCTGGGCCTCAGGCTACTCACCCAGGAAATGGGCATAATCTGCCCACACTGTTCTCCATGCCCACTGCCCACCCTCTCTCCTCAACTCCTCTGGCCACCTCCTCACTGGCCATCGTGCTCCAGGCCCCAGCCCCACTACCAGAGTCCTCACAGCAACCAGAATAAACTTTCCAAATCACAGATCTAACCATGCCACCCCCTGCCCCAGTGGCTCCCCATGGCTGCACTGCAGGACACAGTCCAAGCTTCTTAACAGGCCTTGGGAAACTTTCATCCATCAGCCCACATCTTAGGATTCCCTTCTTGAACTCTAGCCTCTAGCTGTGCTGAGTTAATTTCTGCCCTTGAAACAGCCCTGCTCTGCTTTGCCTCAGGGCCTTTATAAATGCTGCTCCCTCTGTCAAAAACATTCCCCACCCATCTCCCCTTTGACTGGCCAAGGCCTACCCAGTCTCCAGCCTAGATATATCACTTCCTCCAGGAAGTCCTCCCTGCCCTCCTCCAAGGCCAAGTCAGGTCAATGTGCTGTCGGGTCCCATCACAGCACTGACCCCGATCAGCACATCTCCACTCTCAACTATGAGCACCGTGAGGCTAGGGACTGGGTCTGCTCACCGCCGTGTCTCCACGCCTGGCCCAGCACATGGCACGATATACATCTGTCAACCAAGTGACAGGGTGCGAGGAGACAACGGGTGAGGCAGCCCCCTGCACGCTGTAAGGTGCCGGGCACACAGAGGGAGCCGCTCCGTCAGCATCCCCCCACGTCTGCCCAGGCCCCAGCTGGGCCCCTCAGAAGGAAGTAAGTGTCTAGACGAAAACCCTAGAGGCCAGGCCCAGCCCAGCCCTCCCCGGCCCTAGGCGCCCCCTCCCCGTGGCCCCTGCCTAACCCTCCGTGCGCCCCCCAGCCCTGAGGGTGCGGATATCGATGAAGGCCATGCAGGCCTCCTGCGAGAGCTCCTCGCTGCCCAGGATCTTCTTCAGCAGCGCCTGCTTGAGCGGCTCCCGCGTGTGGCTCCACAGCCGGTCCTTGCCGCGGGCCTTGGACACCATCACGCGGCTCAGCGTGTGCTTGGGTGGGGGCCTGCACAGCACGGGACAGTCCGCACTGACGGCCAGGTTGTGAGACTCCAGCCCCATCCCGCCCGCCCCGTGCAGGAAGCGGAGCGGAGGGAACCGGCTTCCCTGCTGCGCCGCGTGACCTGGGATGAGTCACCAGCCCTGCGGGGGCCTTACTTTCTCAGCCCACAAGGCTGGCTGGGCCCCGGCAGCCCTGCCCGCCTCCCCGGCCTGCTCGCGCCTGCTTCTCTCTGCTCGCTCTGCTCCAGCTGTGGCGCTCCTCCACCCGGCTCACCCCGCCCCAGCTTAGCTCAGACACCGCTTCCCCCACGAAGCCTCCATCTCCACCCCGACCCAGCATCTCCATCACAGCACTGGGCGCACAGAATAACAGCCGCCTGGTCTCATGCCTGTCCCCCCACCAGGACTGTGAATCGGTGAGGCAGGTACAGCCTTGAGTCAGGAGTGCCCAGGACTCCACCTAGGGTGGGCGCAGTCACAGTATCTTAAATGAAGGAAGGATAAGATGACACAACATGAGAAGCGTCATCTCGATGGACTGAAACTGCCCTCTGGTTCCCTCTGACCTGGGCACTGCTCACAGACGGGGACACCACAAAGCAACCCCAGCACGCAGACCAGAGGGTAGCAGAAGCCTGCAGCTCCCTGTCCTGGGGCCCTCTCTCCCCTTCCCCCGTCACCTGAAGTAGTCGTAGGAAAATTCCTCCAGCGTGTAGGGCTTGGCGCGCACCTCAGGCTCTGCCGTTCGCAGCTGCAAGAGCCGGATAACGTCCTGCCTCTGGTCGGGGGTCATGGTGACCAGGGCCTAGAGACCGAGAGACGGGGAGCTGAGGTCAGGCGCCCCTGGATCTGTACCCCGGGCCCCTGGATCAACATGGTAAAGTCCAGAGCCTTCTTAAGTGGGTCTGGGGGTGGACCCTGTGCCCCATTCTGACCCTGGGAACACCTTTCCTCCTGGGGGATCTCTGACATTACCACTGCCTCCATCATGCTGGCCTTAGGACCCTTCCCTTGGTGCCCTGTGTCTGAACTAAGTTGGGTCAGTCAGAAAGCCTGGACAAGGCAGCGGATGTAGTGTGAGAACTGCCCCGTCAACAGAGCCTGGCTCCGGAGCTGCCTGGAAAGCTGGGCTCCGAGTCCTCAGTGCTGGCTCGAGGGGCTCCGGAGGAAGCAGGGCCTCACTTCCCATCTCTGCCCTCACTGCCTTTCTGGACAGTGCAAGCCCCTACCCCCGCCCCCATCCCCTAGGCCACTCTTCTCTGATCCCCTACCCCTGGGCAGTTCCTCCTCTGATGCAATTTCTAGGTCCCTCTCCACCTGGCATACATTTGATAGTTGCCCCCAACTTTCAGTTTATGGTCCCATAAGACCCCCAGATCATCTTCACAGAAGCTGCAAAGCATGAATCTACTGTAACCCCTCACTCCATTTTATGTGGGAAGAAGACAAGGAGGGGCCAGGGGAGGGGCCAGGGGAGCCTCCCATGCATCTGCCCCACCCCGGGCCACGTACCACAATCTCCCGCGGTGGCATGGTGACAGTGGGCATGACATACACGCAGTCGGTGGGGAAGTCCCCACGCTGCTTGGTCCTCTCATTGATGCCATTGGCCCAGCCTGAGTTCATGACCTGCTCTCCTGTGTCATGGTCCAGGATGATGAGGTCCCCCTTGGCAAAGCTGAGGAAGCCTGACTCCTCGCCCGCTGGAAGGCATGGGTGAGCAGGGCCACATGGGGGCAGAGAGAGAGGCTGGGTTGGAACACCTCTCTTGGGGTTGATGACCCGTAAGCCTCTCCTCCCCACTGGAACTGAGGCCCTGTCCCGTATCTGCTCAGCAGCCGCTCTGCCTCTACCTTGCACAACCCCCAACACAGATAGCCATCGGAGGGGGCCCTTTCCCAGCTCAGAAGCCTTCCGTGGCTCCCCACTGCCCTAAAAGGAATCCCACACTCCTCGACACGCTACAGGCCTGTTGCTGGCAGATGGCCTTCCTGACGTCTTCTGCCTCACTTTTTGCCCCTCCCGCCTCACCTCACCCATTCCAGCCGAAACAAACTACCCGCAGTTCCCAGACACACCTGCCCCCTCCAGCCTCTGCTCGGTTCTCCTCTCTGCCCCAAACGTTCTGTTCACACATACGTCCTCCCCGAACCCCAGGCTCCCACAGCCTCTGGGCTTCCCGGGTCACTGCACTATCACAGGGATGGGCACTGTCTGCTCCCACCCCCTCCCCACTGAGGGCAGGGCTGGGTTCATTTCGTCTCTTTCTCACGCTCTGCTCGGGACCTCAAAGGCCCGGGGATGCACGGTCCATAGTTGTTACCACTGTCATCATTTAAAGATGGTGGGTATTGGGGGAACACTGAGGAGGAACCCCTGATCTCATCTGGAGAAGTTGGCAAGTAATAGGTATTTAAGACCAGAGGGAGGAAGGTTCCCCACAGGGCACAGATCGAAGGCACAGGGTTGAGCTATTTGGTCCAGCTGGAACCGAAGGTGTATGGGGAAGAATGGGTAACAGGCTCTAGTGATCCTGAACGCCAGGCCAAGGCCAGGGCACGTAATCTGCCTAACACCCTGACCCCGGGGACTGGCATCTCGTGCCAGGAGCCACTCACCAGGGCTGGGGTTGTCCTGCAGGGCCACCACATACTTAGACCTCTTTCGGAGCCCCTCCAGGAAGGTGACCACCAGGTCACGGATGTCCTCAGCATTGCTGGAGGTGAAGGTGTACTCATCCCCCTTGATGGTGGCCAGCGTAAAGCTGGGGGCTACCAGTTTCGCTCCCCTGCAGGACCAACATGGAGAACAGGGCCCTGTCGGGGTCACTCCTGCCCAGCCCGAGTGAGATGCAGCACAGCCCAGGTCAGAGCAGCCCAGCGAGAGCGAGACACGGCACTCCCTGAAGGAGACCAAGGCCAGCCCAGTCAGATGTGGCCCAGCCAGAAAGAGGCCGGCCCAGCCAGGGTGAGATGGGGCCCAGGCAGCCACAGCTCAGCCTGAGTCAGCCACAGCCAGGCCAAAGTCACACATGGTCCTGGGAGGCCTGCAGGGGGAGCTCACTTCCCCTTTGTTGTCTAATTCCCACTCACCCTTTAGGGCTCAGCCTAGAAACCACTGCCTCCAGGAAGCCCTCCCTGCCTTCCCATAGCCCTCAGCACACTGGCCCCTACTTTACAATGGCTTATTCGATGCCCATCTCCCCTCTCAAGTGAAGCTGCAAGAGGACAAGGACTATCTTGTCACCACTGCATCCCATGTACCTGGTCAGAGCTGGACATGACCCAACCCCTGCCCACATCGGACACAGCCCAGAGACACTCCTACAAGCCCCAGATGCGGGGAGGAGGCACTGCTGGGAATGCCAGTCCATTCCAGGACCCACTCCCAACGTTGCTCCGATGTGCACTGCACTTCTCAGTTTACAAAGAGCTCTCCCATCAATTATTGCATGTATTCCTCACCACTGTACTGATGGAAAGTTAAGACCTCCATTTTAGAGATGAGGGCGTGGAGGTGAGTCCCACACAGAGCCCTGAATCTCAGGCCAGCGTTTTGTACACGCTCAACTGTCCCTGACTGTCCTAACCACCCGTGCCCATCTCAGAACAGCCACGAATGTGCTGTAAATACCCGCCCCCCCACACCCTATAGGGAGGAAGGTGCCTGAGGGGTCTGCAGGGTACAGCACATACTGCTCGGTCACATGCGACCAGGACAGGCCACTGCATGTCTCTGCACCTCGGTGATGTCCTCTGTTAGGTTTCCTTCAAAGGCCCCCATGACCCGCAGAAAAGCCCCGGGAGCTCTCTCCTTCCCTGTGTGTCTGCCTGTGTCTCCATCTGCCCCTCCTCCCTTCAGAAAGTGCTGAATCAGGACCCTGGGTTTGAGTCCCATCCCTGCCACTGGTCTTCATGCGGCTTTGGACAAGTCCCCGCCCTGCACTAACGCGGGGAGTGGGGGCTGGACTAACCTACTGCTGGACACGGCCATGATCTCGGGGAAGGACAGCTCCAGAAGCACCTGCTCCTGCTCGTCCACGAAGTAGACGCCCGTCCAGTTGACGGCCACGATGACGTCGTTCTTGGGGAGGCTGGGGCCTGGGGCAGAGACAGAGGCACTGAGAGGGCACCTGCCCGCTGCCGCACCCAGCCCTTCTCGATCCTCATAACCACCAGGGAGGTGGCCAGGGTGGGGTGTGTTGATGTCCATTTTACAGATGGGAAAACTGAGGCTCGGAGAACACAACCTCCCTACGAGCCGAAACCCCAGGTGCGGTGGGAAGAGAGTGTTGGATTAAGGAACTGGGTTGGAGCCGCCTTCCTGCCACTGGTCTGTGCAGCTTGGGACAAGTCCCTGCCCTGCGGTATGGTGGGATACGGGGAGGAGTCAGACAAACTGAGCCCCAACGTTCCCTCGAACCTGATATTTGGTGGTTCTGTGAAGCCACCACCAGCACAGGGCCTGGCATGGAGCAGGTGCCTGGTACCAGTGGCCCGAGGTTGGCTAAGCAAGTGGCCAGTACAGGTCTGTCAGCTGCATCTACTCTCAGCTTCACGGGTTCGGCCCAGCCTGTGCTCTGGGCCACCCTCTTCTGTACACAGTAGGTGCTTTAATGATCACAATACTCAGTCAATTGTTTGACCCAGTGTGTTGCTGAGTACCTACTATGTGCCACGGAGCCCTACTGGGCTGCAGGGAGGCAGGAGCCACTCAGCACACTGACTTGGAGGCCAGGCAGCCCTGCGGGCAGGAGGCTGGCTGACTGGGGAGTCTGGCTCAGGCCAGCCCCCTCCCTCTGCCACGGACCAGAGCCATCGAGGGAGGGACGGGAGGCAGGTGGGCTGAGGGGTACCTGAGAACTTGTAGGCTTCGTAAAACCTGGAGAAGAGCAAGGGCCACTTGAAGCGGGCATAGTTGACCACATCCTCTTTGACCTTCTGGGCATCAGTTCTCCTCTGGGCATAAATCCCCTGGAGGGGCACAGACAGGAACAGGGGACAAGAGACTTGGCACAAGCTCTGCCTGGAAATCAAACGTCCCTGTCTGCACGTCAGAAGTGGGCCCCAGGCCACCGTGTCCTCGTGCACACCATGGCCTCACCCCACCCCCCCAGCCCACAGCCTCCCCGTCACTCCATCTTCCTCCGATTCCATCAACAGCAGTGAGCACTTGCTAGAGGAACATGGGTCCCCCCTCAGGGAGCTCCCGATTCAGCAGAGTGACAAGAAAGCCCACAATCCCAGCCGGCGCATGTGCAAGGCACAAGGGCAGGGATCAGGGAAGGAGTTTGGGGGACAGGAACATGAGTGGCTAAGGATGGGGCCGGGGGGGTGCCAGGCCTGACCAAGAAGAGGGAGTGGAAACCGGTGAGTGGGAGCCAGGTCACAGAACCATGGGCGAGGCCACCACTGTGAGGCTGGTCTCTTAGTGGAAACTGACAGGTAAACTTGGGAGTTAGGAAGATTGCAGGGTAGAGAAGGGTTGGAGCCTGGAGTGGGCAAGCAGATGGGGGAATAATGCAGTGCTCCTGGCAGAAATTAATGCACAGATGTTTTATTATCTAAAAATATTCTGCTGAGCTTTAATAAGAACTTGGTGGTATTGGAGTAGAATTGGAGGGATCAGAATGAACTCATGGTTTTTATCATCTATGAACACAAACATAGATGCAGACATGTGTGTGGGCCAGCCCTGTGCTGTCACATTTCCATGCACGAAGAGGGCCCAGAAGCAATGCCATCCCAAGAGCTGTGAGTATTCAGGGATAAGGGGCTCAGCATCTCCAACCTAATCTCAGATGGCTCAGAAAAAATAATAACATGTATGTGTGCAGAGAAAATAAAAGCAAATGTGGGACAATGTTAACATCTGGTGAGTCTAGGTGAAGTGCATACTGTACACAGCAGGCCTAGCTTTTTAACTTGCAACTTTTTCGTAAGTTTGAAATTATTTCAAAATAAAATGTTTTTACTCCTCTGACCCTAATAATCATGCTAATTCGGACCTGTCCACTCTACAATAGGCCGGGGCCAGGGCTCTGGAACGCACAGGCCAGGGCACTACAGTCCAGCGGAGAGATACACGAGCTCGGTCATGGGCTCTGAGAGGGCAGAGGGCACATCTGTTGTACTCGCAGCTGTGTCTCCAGGGCCTGGTGCAGTGCCCAGCACATGGCAAGCACCCAAAACAAAGGGAATTCATGAGTGATGGCGCCCAACCCAGAACATGCCAGGTGCCACATGCACATCGGCCGCGCACACCGAGGACCCAGGGAAGGCAGAGGAGTGGAGGTGGGGACGGAGGCTGGAGCTGTTGGCAGGTGGAATGGACGGGCTTCAGCAGCTAACCAAGTGTGAGGGGTGAGGGAGAGGAGGTGGCCAAGGACAGAAAGAGTAGGGGAGGGAGAACATGCATATCTTCTGGAGGGGGCTGAGGACAGGGAGGTCCTCGGGGGTGAGCCAGGCCTAGAAGCACAGGGGGTGCAGGGAGCATTCGGGTACAGGTGGAGACTTGTGGGCAGCTCAAGGGAAGGCAAAGAGCTCAGGGGGAGACAAATGGGGCTCCTGGGTTAGGGAAGAGGCCACGTGGCGTAGGGGTTGAGACACACTGATCTTGGAGCCCTTGGCAACTTGTGTACAAAGAGGATTCTGCTCTTATACAACCAGGGCCTGGAGATGGGGAGGCCCATGGGTCCCCTCCAGCAGCCAGGGTCCCCCACCTCCACCAGGGCACCCCTGCTCTACTTGGGGCGGGTCTCTTAGCTTAGAAGGGAGCTACTCAGGGCTGGTTATGGGCCTGGGGCCTTAAACAAGAGGCAGAGGGGGCCAGTACCTCAAATTCCCCAGGCAGGAAGTTGGGCCAGAGCTCTTTTAGGGGAAAGGAGGTACACTTCCTAGAAGCTCCTCCAGCATGCACCAACTCTCCTGAGCTGTAGCACTAATAAGCTTTGGTGGGAGGCCAGGAGCGGGGACCCCCAGTGCCCATGGACCCATGGTTTCCCTCATGAGGCCATGGGGCTAGATGTGATCCATCTCTGTGTCCCTGGCGCCCAGTGCAGAGTAGAGGGCAGAAAACACAAGTGAACTGATCTCCATGGTGGAGAAAGGCTGCTGGGAGCCAGGAGGTCAAGGGTGCCATCCTGTCCTCCCAGCCCCATGGACAGACAGATGTCAGGTAAGAGCTGTGGCCTCTTTGATTTCTCAGGTCCTTACCCTTCAGCCAGGTCATCAGAAAGCCCCTCCTTCACAACCCCAGCCCTCTGACCTTCTTGTGGGCAGCAATGGCCAGCTGGGCCCACTTCTCCAGCGTCCTCAGGGGCGTGATCTCGCGGTCAGGGATGTAGGTGGGCACGAGGTTCAGGAGGCGCTCCAGGATCATCTCAGAGCCGTAGTCCACAAAGTACTGCTGGGAGGCCAGCTCGGCCAAGTCATCCTCCTAGGTGTGGGGAGGTCTCATTCACACATGCTCTGGGAAGCCATTCCGGGCCACCAGAGCCCCCAGGCCCTGCATCCTGTAGCTTTCAGACCCTTGCCTTTGGGACCCTGTGCTCTCCCTGACTCACCAGGACCTCCTGTCTGCTTGGTGGAGCCATGAGCACCCCAAGGGCAGGACCACACTCACCTGCTCCTGGGTTTCCTCAGCACCAGCACAGAGCTGGACTCTGCCCAGGGGCACGTGAGCTGACCCAGAGGGACCAGCCAGCCCATTGGTAATGGGTCAGCCACTACCTTCTCAGCCTGATGAGAAAGGCCTGCCCTGGAGAATGGGGGACCTGGGTACTGCTGGAGACTATCAGAGGAACGGGGTGCATCACTACCTCCATCACCATCACTACACCCCCTGGGGACAGTCAAGGCATTGAACAACCAGTGAGCCATAATGCAGAGGTTGCAGAGAGCCAGATGGGCACTGATCATTTGCCCCTTTTCTATCTGAGGCTGGTGCGTGGCAGCCCCAGTGATGCCTGCCTGGGGCTCCCCAGGGCTATGGCAGCAGGGGCAATAGGGAAAGGGTCTTGTGCACCTTGAAGGCAGTAGATGTTTTCCAACTAGTTCAAAGTATTTTGGAATTTTAGCAACTGATATGGCTGTACTAATACATTCTGCTTGAATATCAGCTCGCCAACACCAAAACCACCACTATTATCATCACCACCATTACCAACACCAACACCACCATCAGCAGCACCATCATCATCATCACTACCCTCACCACCACCTACACCATCACTACCTCCACCATCATCCCTCATTTCCATCATCTCCATCCTTATTCCTCCATCATAATAACCAACAGAACCATAAGTGTCATGAAAACCATCATCACCATCAAAAACAAAGCAACCACATCAATCCTGTCCTCAGGAGATAAAAGGATACACGTTTGTAAACTGTGGTCTAAACGAGTGGATCTCTTACTCCTTTAGAGCAGAGTTTCTAGACTAACTAACAATACAGCAAGATGCACAGACGAGATGGTGGAGTGGAAGGACCTGAGCTCACTTCCTCTCACAAAAACACCAAAATCACAACTAACTGCTGAACAACCATCGACAAAAAAGGACTGGAACCTAATAAAAAAGATATTCTACTTCCAAAGACAGAGAAGAAGCCACAACAAGACAGTAGGAGGGGTGCATTCTCAATACAATCAAATCCCATGCCAGCCAGGTGGGCAACCCACAAACTGGAAAATAATCGTATCACAGACGTTCTCTCAAAGGAGTGAGAGTTCTGAGCCCCATGTCAGGCTCCCCAGTCTGGGGGTCTGGCAAAGGGAAGAGGAGTCCCTGGAGCATTTGGCTTTGAAGGCCAGCTGGGCTTGATCGCAGGAACTCCACAGGACTGGGGGAGAGAGAGACTGCAGTCTTGGAGGGCACACAAAAGATTTCACATGCACTGGGACCCAGGGCAAAGTAGTGACTCCACAGGAGCCTGGGCCAGACCTACCTGCAGGTCTTAGAGGGTCTCCTGGGGAGACAGGGGGTGGTTGTGACTCACTGTGGAAACAAAGACACTTGTGGTGGAGGTACAGGGTACTCATTGGCATGAGCTGTCCTGGAGGCTGCCATTTTGACACTAAAACCTGGCCCACCCAACAGCTCGAAGGCTCTAATGCTGGGACATCTCAGGCTGAACAACCAGAAGGCCAGGAACACAGCCCAATCATCAGCAGACAGGATGCTTAAAGTCTTCCTGAGCCCACAGCTGCCTGTAAACACACCCCTGGACATGGCCCTGATCACCAGAGGGACAACACCCAGCTCCACCTACCAGTGGGCAGGAACCAGTCCCTCCCACCAGGAAGCCTCTTAGACCAGCCTCATGCATCAGGCAGCAGACACCAGAAGCAAGAGGAACTAAAATTCTGCAGGCTGTGGGACCATAAACACAGAAAGTTAGACAAAATGAGACAGCAGAGGAATATGTTCTAGATGAAGGAACAAGATAAAACCCCAGAAGAACAACTAAGCGAAGTGGAGATAGGCAATCTACCTGAAAAAGAATTCAGAGTAATGATGGTAAAGATGATCCAAGATGTTGGAAAAAGAACGGAGGCAAAGATTGAGAAGGTAAAAGAAATGTTTAACAAAGATCTAGAAGAACTAAAGAACAAAAACAGAGGTGAACAATACAAAAACTTAAATGAAAAATACTCTACAAGGAATCAATAGCAGAATAAATGAGGCAGAAGAAAGGGTAAGTGAGCTGGAAGACAGAGTGGTGGAAATCACTGCCACTGAACAGAATAAAGAGAAAAGAAATGAGGACAGGGCTTCCCTGGTGGCACAGTGGTTAAGAATCCACCTGCCTGGGCTCCCCTGGTGGCAGAGTGGTGAGAGTCCGCCTACCGATGCATGGGACACGGGTTTGTGTCCCAGTCCGGGAAGATCCCACATGCCACGGAGTGGCTAGGCCCGTAAGCCATGGTTGCTGAGCCTGCGCGTCCGGAGCCTGTGCTCCGCAACAGGAGAGGCCACAACAGTGAGAGGCCTGCGTATCGCAAAAACAAAAAAAAAAAAAAAAAAAAATCCACCTGCCAATGCAGTGGACACGGGTTTGAGCCCTGGTCCAGGAAGATGCCACATGCCACGGAGCAACTAAGCCCATGTGCCACAACTACTGAAGCCTGTGTGCCTAGAGCCCATGCTCCACAAGAGAAACCACCACAATGAGAAGCCCAAGCGCCACAACGAAGAGTAACCCCTGCTCACCTCAACCAGAGAAAAGCCTGCACACAGCAATGAAGACCCAACACAGCCAAAAATAAATAAATAAAATTAATTTATTTAAAAAAAGAAAAGAAAAAGAAATGAGAACAGTTTAAGAGACCTCTGGGACAATGTTAAACACACCAACAATCACATTACAGGGGTCCCAGAAGGAGAAGAGAGAGAGAAAGGACCTGAGAAAATATTTGAAGAGATAATAGCTGAAAACTTCTCTAACACGGGAAAGGAAACAGTCACCCAATCCAAGAAGTGCAGAGAATCCCATACAGGATAAACCCAAGGAGGAACACGCTGACATACATATTAATCAAACTGACAAAAATTGAAGACAAAAAGAAAATATTAAAAGCAGCAAGGGAAAAGCAACAAATAACATACAAGGGAATCCCTATAACGTTATCAGCTGAGTCGTCAGCAGACCAGAAGGGAGTGGCACGATATATTTAAAATGATGAAAGGGAAAAAACTACAACCAAGAATACTCTACGCAGCAAGGCTCTCATTCAGATTTGATGGAGAAATCAAAAGCTTTACAGACAAGCAAAAGCTAAGAGGATTCAGCACCACCAAACCAGCTTTACAACAAATGCTAAAGGAACTTCTCTAGGTAGAGAAGAAAAGCCCACAACTAGAAGTAAGAAAATTACAAATGGGAGAGCTCACTGATAAAGGCAAACATACAGTAAAGGTGGGAAACCATCCACACACAAATATGTTAACAAAATCAGCAATGGTGAGAAGAGGGTACAAATGCAGGATGTTGGAAACACATTTGAAATTAAGAGAACAACAACTTAAAACAATCTTGTATATATATAGACAGCTATATCAAAACCTCATGGTAACCACAAACCAAAACTCTACAATAGAGATACCCACAAAAAAGAATCCAAACACAACACTAGTCATCAAATCAAAAGAGAAAAAAAGAGGAAGGGAAGAAGAGAGAACTACAAAACAATCCCCAAACAATTAACAAAACGTCAATAAGAACATACATATCAGTAATTACCTTAAATGCAAATGAACCAAAAGACATACACTAGCTGAATGGATACAAAAACAAGACCCATATATATGCTGTCAACAAGAGACCCCCTTCAGATCTAGGGACACATACAGACTGAAAGTGAGGGTATGGAAAAAGATATTCCATGCAAATGGAAATCGAAAGAAAGGTGGAGTAGCAATATCCATATCAGACAAAACAGACTTTAAAATAAAGACAGTTACAAGAGACAAAGGTGGACACTACATAATGATCAAGAGAGCAATCCAAGAAGAAGGTAAAACAACTGTAAATATATATGCACCCAACATAGGAGCACTTCAATATATAAGGCAAATGCTAACAGCCATAAAAGGAGGAACCAACAGTAACACAATAATAGTGCAGGACTTTAACACCCCACTTATATCAATGGACAGATCATCCAGACAGAAAAATCAATAAGGAAACACAGGCCTTAAATGATACATCAGACCAGGTGGACTTAATTGATATTTATAGAGCATTCCAACCAAAAGCAGCAGAATACATATTCATCTCAAGTGCCCATGGAACATTCTCCAGGATAGATCACATGCTGCGCCATAAAGCCTTGATAAATTTAAGAAAACTGAAATCATATCAAGCATCTTTTCTGACCACAATGCTATGAGATTAGAAATCACTTACAAGGAAAAAAAACTGTAAAAAACACAAACACGTGGAGGCTAAACAATATGCTACTAAATAACCAATGGATCACTGAAGAAATCAAAGAGGAAATCAAAAAATTCCTAGAGACAAATGAAAATGAAAACATGATGATCCAAAACCTATGGGATGCAGCAAAAACTTTTCTAAGAGAGAAGTTTAAAGCAACACAATCTTACCTCAGGAAACAAGAAAAATCTTAAATAAACAACCTAAACTACACCTAAAGCAACTAGAGAAAGAAGAACAAACAAAACCCAAAGTCAGTAGAAGGAAAGAAATCATAAAGATCAGAGCAGAAATAAACGAAATGGAGATGAAAAAAATAACAGAAAAGATCGATGAAACAAAAAGATGGTTCTTTGAGAAGATAAAAAATTGATAAACCGTTAGCCAGACTCATCAAGGAAAAGAGGGAGAGGTCTCAATAAAATTAGAAATGAAAAAGAAGTTACAGCAATACCACAGAAATACAAAGGATCATAAGAGACGACTACAAGCAACTATATGATGATAAAATGGACAACCTAGAAGAAATGGACAAATTCTTAGAAAAGTAGTCTCCCAAAACTGAACCAGGAAGAAACAGAAAACATGAACAGACCCATCACAAGTACTGAAATTGAAACTGTGATTTAACAACTCCCAACAAACAAAAGTCCAGGATGTGATAGCTTCACAGTGAATTCTATCAAACATTTAGAGAAGAGTTAACACCTATCTTTCTGAAACTATTCAAAAAATACCACACAAAAAGTCCAATATCACTGATGAACACAGATGCAAAAATCCTCAACAAAATACTAGCAATCCAAATCCAACATTACAAGGATCATACACCACGATCAAGTGGGATTGATCCCAGGGATGCAAGGATTTTTCAATATCTGCAAATCAATCAGTGTGATGCACCACATTAACGAATTGAAGAATAAAAACCACCGTTCAAGGTTGTGCCCTGCCCCCTTCCCTCTTGTTTCATTCACACCTAAGGAAGATGGCTTGTGCTGAGTATTCTTTTCAGCTGTCAAGTCTAGAGGAGCTTGTTGGAGTTCTGCAGAAGGTGCTAAAGGATAACTTTGCTGATGTCCAGGTCTCTGTAGTTGAGTGCCCTGACTTGACTAAGGACCATTTACCTTTCCTGTAAAAGGCATCTGTGGGAAAACTAGAATTGCAGAAGTAGGAGGCATGCCTTACTTATTGCCTCTTGTAAATCAAAAAACAAGTTTATAACCTACATAAGATTGCAAAAGAAATCCAACTTCCCAG